AACACAGTGACATAGTTTGCAGGCATCAAGGCCTCTTACACAGCTGACATGCCCTAGCACTGAAGTCCTTTGCAGATCCTGTGTAAGAATTCTGACTTTCCTTATTTCGCAGTAATTAAAAGTGAGTTTGAATTTTGAAATCCTGTATTCTGAAAGCTGCAGTTCATCTGTGTTCTCTTCTTTCCCTTAAAATGGCATTTTTAATTTTTCTAAATGATAATGGAAGATGTAGTGGATGAATAGCTGCAAAGCACTTTGAGACGAGTGGCATTGTAGGAAAGTGAAGTATAACTTTCAGTTTAACATGTTTAATTTTTCAAATAGATAATCATACCAGTCTTCAGTTCTAACTCCAGATCTTCTTTCCTAGGGAGAGACCCCTCTACCTAATGTGATGGAAACAGCCTTTTATTTTGAACAGGCTGGAATTGGCTTGAGCAAAGATGAATCCTATCACATATTCCTTGCCCTTAAAAAACTAGTTAGTGTTCAGCCAATCCAGACCTGTCGCTTCTGGGGCAAAATTTTGGGCATGGAGATGAACTATATTATAGCTGAAGTACAGTACCATGAGGGGGAAGAGGAGGAGGAAACAGAAGAGGAAGAAGTTACTGAGGAAAAAGAGAAAGGGATGGGTGAGGGCGAAGACGAAGATGAGAAGAAAGAAAAAGAAGATGAACCACCAAAATCCACATATAAACCCCCACCTGTCATCCCGAAAGAAGAAAATGGGACTGGGGCTAATAAATATGTCTACTTTGTCTGTAATGAGCCAGGCAAACCCTGGGTGAAGTTGCCTCCAGTGACGCCAGCCCAGATTGTCTGTGCCAGGAAAATCAAGAAGTTCTTCACTGGTAGGCTGGATGCTCCTGTTGTGAGCTTTCCTCCTTTCCCTGGAAATGAGGCCAATTACCTGCGTGCACAGATAGCTCGGATCTCAGCAGGAACCCAGATCTCTCCCATTGGATTTTACCAGTTTGCAGAGGACGAAGGAGAGGAAGAGGAGGAGGAGGGAGGAGGAAGAGATACCTATGAAGAAAACCCCGATTTTCAGCCCCTTTCTGTGGCCGAAATGGTGGATTCTCTCGCCACATGGGTACACCATGGACAGAGTATTCTAAACCAGGTATGTTCTGGCATAGCTCACGTCAACCTCGGATACCATTCACACTGGAGTACTCGTAGGGTTTCAGAACGTAAATGAAACTCCTCACCTGCACATTTGAACCATTCACCAGAAATAGTACTGGACTGAAATATTTTTCTACAGAAAATATATTTGATATAGCATATAATATATAAATATGTTGCACATATTTACATATAACATATTTCTATATATATTTTTATATATATATATATATATTTAGGAACCTCCTAGGTTTAGTACTTTTTTCAATGGTGTGTTCTTGAGATTGAAACCTATCTTTAGGTAACAGTATGGAGTTAGCCCTTGATAGATAACAATAATTTCTGGTAATCTTCTATATTAGGTTTTCTCTTTTGAAGTCCATACTTGACAAAAATGTTTAAAATTCTCTTTTCTTGGGTAGGATGCTAAAATGCAGATAGCTTATGACTGTATGCTACATGGAACTTATTTGATGTTTTTCTTCTGGTTTGTTTTTTGTTGCTTACTTTCTGCTGTGAAACGTGCAAATGAAAAAGCTTAAAAGCTTGTGATATCAAGCTAGTGCTGGAAAGAGGTATTACTAATTTGATGATCATTGCTGGATGACTTGCTGGCCAGTCCACCAGTTCAAGAATGCTAGTGTAAAATAACAGCAAATGGTAGGAAATAAGGTTTAAAATTATGACCAGCAAAACAATAGTTGTAAAAATAAAATCTATATGCATTAGAATCTCAAGAACATTTTGTTATGTTCCTCTGACTGGTAGCTAAATAACAAGGCAGACTTTAAAAGGAAGAGGCAAAGTCTGTAAGTTAAGCCTCTTAGTTTGCAGTAACTGGTAATCTAGCGAGGACGTAAACCAAACTAGCAAGGAACTGAAGAATACAAAATAACGAAAAGCTGATGACAGAGGTATAAAGTTATTCTTAAACAGTAAGCAGGGATGAGGGAGGAATGAGTGATAATAGGAAGCTCTCTGCCAAGAGGATACAATATTCTGCCAACAATATACCAATTAGGGAATATATATTTTTCTTTTCTTCCCCGCTCCCTTAACTCTGTGTGTGTGTGTGTGTGTGCCTGAGCCAATTGTCTTAACTGGCTTGCATTCTTTCAGTGATTGTTACCTGTATTTATTATTTTTCCATATCAATTATAGGGTCGCTGTGTTTGGCTTAATCCTTTTCAAAAATCAGAAGAAGAAGAAGAAGAAGAAGAAGAAGAAGAAGAGGAGGAGGAGAAAGCAGAGGAGCCAGATGAAGTACAGCAAGAAATAGGACCTCCTCTTCTCACTCCACTCTCTGAAGATGAAGGTATTCTGAAGATGAAGGAATATGAAGTTTTTGATAGAGAGCCACTAGGAATGTTGGCATTTAGGTAGTAAAATTTGAAGTTATAGGTCTCTGATGCTTCATGGAGCAATAAGTTTGCCCCGTAGGGTAAACAAGTTCTTTTACAAAATTGATCAAAAGCAAAATGGTTAACAGTATTGACATTGAAACTGAAATAATTGGGTTTACTAATGAACAATCTTGTTGAGAACAAAGGGAAAAATACCTCAGACTTGTCAGGCTGCTGCAAGTTCAAGACAGCTCACTACATGAAATACATTCAGCTATTTTTCCATCATCTTTTTAGACAAAAAAAAAGTGTGTGTGCACCTGTAAATAAGTAAATATATATACGTACACACATGCATAGATATACAAATAAGATTTTAGATCCTGTAGCATATTACTGCAGCAAATCATGGGAATATGGGAACCTGAATATTAGATTACATCAATAGCAAATTATTTTCCTACTCTCCATTCTTTGATCAAGGTGAAATATAACTGTATAATTTATCCATAAGTGATAAACAGTTCTTGACCAAAGAAGCAGCGGTGAGTACTACTGAATTTCAGGAGCATGATCTTTTCTGTACGTGGCTCTATTAGCATTCCTGTTCTACCTACCCATACATCCAAACCACCTGTTTGACTATGGCGCCTACATTTATTGTTTCTGACTTCTGGCTCTTCTGACATGCAACTTGTTATAACCATTGCTTGAATTCTGTGAAAGCCTTGTAGCTCAGTCTTAAATATTTTGTAGAGGCTCAATTTATTTTCAATTTATTGTCAATTTATTCATAGGCTCAATTTATTGTCAATTTATTCATAAACTGTGTGTGTTTGGCTGTCTCCAGGAATTCAAAACATCCCTGCTTGGACAGCTCAGCCTTCTACAAACCTGATCCCGCAATATGCTCTTGCAGTTCTCCAGTCTAACCGATGGCCCGGAGCGTATGCCTTTGCATCTGGCAAGTGAGTAGCTAGTTGACATGGTGACAACACAGACCGTATATGCTGAACACCTGTCTAATGAAGTCAAAGTTGCTTTATTATTAATTCATTGACTGAATTCTAACTATTCCAGAGACTGATGGAGAAGGGCACTTAAATGTGCACAGCCACAGTAAATGTGTATTTAAGACTGAAAATTAATAATCATTGGAAAGGCTAGTATAAAGTTAATGGATGTAAATGTTCAGTTAGTATTTGGGCACAGTCCTTGATTTAAAACTTATATTCTTGAGTCTGTGGTACTTCTTACATTCTGCGGTTCTAATGTTCATTCGTTTCCACTACACATGGTGCTGTCTTTTAAATACTTCCGTTATAAGGTATCTGCACCACAGCAACTTTTTGCACAGCAGAGTAAGGAAGCCTGACAATATCTCCACTGATGTTTTGCTGGGGGGGAGAATGCGTGATCTTTCACTTTTCTTTCTCAGGAAATTTGATAACATCTACTTTGGCTGGGGTCACAAATACAGCCCAGAGAACCACGCTCCCGCACTGCCTCCGCCAGTGCAAGCAGAATACCCCAGCGGGCCAGAAATCGCTGAGACAAGAGACCCCACTCTGGAAGAGGAACTGGCTTTCAAGGCTGCGAGCGAAGAAGCCTTAGCTGCAGCTGAGGAAGAGGAAGATGAGGAAGACGCTGAGGACGACGAAGAGGAGGATGATGATTAAAATATGGGGGGAAACATTTTTAATTTAAAAGTTTAAACATGAATAGTATTTTCATAAATTAGTCATTAAGAAGTTGACCTGAAAGGAAATGCAGGTGGAGCGTGCCGCCTTTTTTGATGTCTGTAGGCTCTCCTTTGCAGCCACCTTCCCCTCCTTCCCTGCCCCCCAAGCCCACCCGCGCTGGCGTGAAGCCCGCGCCGCTTCCACTGGAGGGCAGCGCGAAAAAGCCGCCTCTTTTCAGAAGAGTAGGCAAACATCGTCTGCTTCTGCTTCCTAAAATAATTCTGCTTTGAACTGACTTAACCACCGTCCACCAAACGTTCTTGTCGTTTTTCTAACCCGCACTTCAATGCCTATAGAAATTTTACGTAAACAAAAAAAAAAAAATAAACGTAATTACATAACAATATCACTTTTATGTGTGACAGCATACTATTTAAATTCAGCAGGCAGCTTACTAAGTTACCGGCCGAGCGCACGGTGATGGTGACGGTACCGCCGACCGCTGCCTCCCCGCGGCGGGGCGCCGCTCTCACGGCGCCGCAGCCCTGGCCGCCACCATCGCGGGACTCTCGACAGGCAGGGGGGTGTCGCGGGGAGTGCACGGGCTGCTCAGCCATCTATCGCTCACGACGCTTTCCCTGTTCCCCCCCGGTCAGCCGTTGGCGAGTGGTACGCTCCGCCGCGGCGTCTGCCCTGCGCGGGCCAATAGAAAGCGTCCTCGGGAGAAGTTCAAACGCCGGTGGCGGTTGGGTCGCTGCGCTGCTCGCCTGGGTGCGGGCGAACAAGGAGGAAAGAAGCGAGCGGTTTCCCTGTCACGGGCGGCGCGTGCCCAACGGCCGCGGGGATGGCGGAGGAGGGAGCCGTGACGGTCTGCGTGCGTGTGCGGCCGCTCATCGCCAGGTGAGGCTCCGTCCGGGCGGCAGGGCCGCGCCCCAGCCCCCGGCCTGAGGGGAGGCTGCAGTCCCTCGGCTTCCCTGGGTGTTGCTGTGCCCCCTCTCACCTTCAGCTGGGCCCCCGGGAGCGCCGCTACCGCCCTACGAAGAGGGGGAGGCTGGGGCGTAAATGCGGTGTCCGTCCCCGTGGAGGAGGGAGAGAGCCGGAACAAACGGCTGGCGAGGGCCTGGGGGAGAGGTGCTCACGGTAACGGGTACACCGGCGTTATAGGAGCAGAGTCCTGAACTAATAACGTTAACGGAGTATCTCTTCTTTTAGAGAAAATGCTCTAGAAGATAAACTGTCACTCCACTGGAAAAGCGAAAATAATACCATTTCCGAGGTGAATGGTACAAAAGTATTCAGTTACGGTAAGAATATGAAAGCGATTACTGGATTTTGATGCTTGTATGGACGTTTGTTACTGTACTGCTTGAATGTATGCTAACACCAGTGACCTTAACTTTTTGATCCTGAACTTTTCTTCCAACTTCATAATTTTGAAGGAGTCGTGTTGGTGCACAGAGGATTTTGATTTTAGTCAGTACTGGGAATGTACTTTTGAAGTCAGCTTCCTGATGGACGTTGCTTCCTCTGTTCTGGTTCATGCTGTAGAGTGGTTTTGGAACACAAGCTGGATTCTTTTCATATGAATTCCAGTTACAAAGGGACTAGACTGGGGCTAGTCCAGAGCATTTAGGGCAAAGAGGGTGGGGGAACCCAAACCCAAAACTGAGAAGTGCCTAGTGTGGATGTTAGATCCTCGTAACTAACTGCCTCACTTTGAGTCTCTACTCTACTTGTTAATATGAATGTAGCCACTACAAATATTTTTCCCAAATTATAGATTCAATAAAAGCATGCTCTAAGCTAGGAATTTAACAAGTAGCCTGTCCTGTCAGGCTTACAATCCTCATAGATAAATTAGCCATAACTGTTTTTAGGATCAAATAGGATGACTATTTAACTGTGTTTAGCATTCTTAGTTTTTTTTGACTTGTTTGTTCATCGTATCTTTCTTGGTTCTGGGCTTAATATTTCTTTTTTAAAAAAAAGAAAGTCTATATTAGTAGTGTCACAATTACATTTTATGTTTGAATTATCCTACAAACAAGCTGATGCCCATTTATTGGATTTGAAGTCAGCAATACTGAGTAAGATGACAGCTTGTGTTTTACTTGTAATACAGTGGATTTACATGCTTTCTTTTTTTTAAGATCGTGTCTTTCACTCAAGTGACAACACTCAGCAGTTATATGAAGGTGTAGCTGTTCCAATTATACAGTCAGCTGTGCAAGGTTATAATGGTAAGTTTTAAAACTGTGTTTAAGTCCTGTTTGTAATGTCTTTCGTAAGTAATTAGTAATATTTAACTATCTTTCTAGGCACAATTTTTGCTTATGGACAGACTGCTTCAGGGAAGACATACACAATGATGGGAAATGAAGATTCTGTGGGCATTATCCCTAAGGCAATTCAACATGTTTTCAAAATTATTTGTGAGGTGAGCAATTCCATTAAATTCAAGTGACTGGAAGGACTAGTGATATTTGTGGTTGTTACAGAAAAATTAAGAAGCTTATGGAGGAAATGAATTTATATTGGACCATATGTTGCTGTTGCTTTGCTAGCCTTGCAAAGATGAGTGGTTTAAAAAAAGATAATGGGACTCTATTAGTTAAAATCAAATCAGAACAAAACTGGGGAGGTTGTTAAACTTGCAAATATACTAACCCTTGATTACAAGTATAAACAGATACTCATTAGCATGTTAGATAAGGTAATGCGAAGCCTCGTGTTCTTTATTCTGCTATTTTAAAACTTTAAAAAATTAACAGTGTTTAAAGACTTTTTAGTGGGAAGAATATGACACTAAATTTACTTATTTCAGGCTTTCAAAAGAGTCATAGGCTAACTGCTCAATGCTAATAGGAAGTAAGGAGAAGGTGTAAGTTAAAACAGTGATTTCCAAAACATCACCTGCAGAGCATTTGCTTCTGCCTTGAGGATTTCGGGTAATTTTTATCAGTTATGTGAAGTGATTGCTGCTCCTTTGAGGAGGTGCAGAGTGCATTAGGGGGTCTATAAAAGTAACTAAAGCCAAGAAAACTTTCCATGGTGCTGTAGTCCTCGAGTCCATTGTGCAGCCTTTCCTCACCCCAGTATTCTCTACCAGACAGGCATGAGAAGAAGCAGCAGCAGCAAGGTAAATCTAAGCAAGCAGGGAGAGAAGACTAGGTACGCAGAGAGGAAAGAGCCTAAGCAAGAGGAAATTGGATATGGAAAGGGCATTTAAGTGTGGTTGTTACGCTTCTGTAGGGCAGTTATCTTAATTCTATAACCTACTAAAAGTGATATACCATTAATGCAGCTAGAAAGAGGTGGGAAGAAAAATGATTCTGTATTGGTAGATGCTAATGTGCAAAGAGGATGGGGGAAAAGAAATATGTGGAACCATATCCAAACATATACCTTTTGAATTTAGAATGCTTACATTAAGAGGTGTTCATTGACTAGTCTATTGTTTGTTTTTTTTTTTTCCTCTTTCTTTGAACATTAGATTCCAGATAGAGAATTCTTGCTAAGGGTTTCTTACATGGAAATCTACAATGAAACCATTACAGATTTACTTTGTGATATCAGGAAAAAGAAGCCTCTGGGAATTCGTGAGGATGTTAATGTAAGTGGATGTTATATAATCTAAGTATTGTATCTGCTTGGAGTAAAAGAAATAGTTAAGAAAAAAAAGCAGCCTTCAGAGGCATCTAGTTGAAAACTTTTCTGTGTTGAATTGTGTAACGGTTATCTTCAGAATTACCAGACGGACACTTGATGTACTAGAATAACAGCAGTGAAGCTGGGGTTGCTGTTGCTGGTTTATCTTTATAAATGTTTGTAAACGTAGACTTAATTCCTTAAGTTTTCCAGGATAGTATATTTTATTTAAAAATTGGTGGGTTTTTTGTTTTTGTTGTGTTTGTTTGTTTGTTTGTTTTCCTTCAACACCCTAAATGATCAGTGCTTTTGGAACTTGGGAAGAAGGGAGACGTGTCAGTTGTATGATTATGGCCTTATAACATGTACTAAGACATATACTCCTGGATTCCCTCAGAAAATGTCCAGAAGGATATTTCTCTTACTAGTTTTATTTTTAGGAGACCTTCTAGATCTCTGTTTGATTCCTGTGCCTTTAGGCTATAGTTCTGATAAAGGTCTAAACTTTCCCCATTCCTTGTGTTCAGAGTAAAAAGACCTTCAACTGTTGTTGTTTCCTTTTAAGAATCAATCAAACTGGAATAAATACCATAATAATTGCTGGTAATGTTAACTTAATGTATTGAAGTGAGCTTTAGAGTTTGGTGAAATTTGTTACTGTTTTTGTTCTTAAGAGGAATACGTATGTAGAAGATCTGATTGAAGAGGTGGTGGTTGCCCCAGAACAAGTTATGGAATGGATCAGAAAAGGAGAAAGTAAGTTGTTTAGCCAATGTTAGCTGCTGTCTTCAAAAAGCATTGATGAATCGGATATATCTAGAATCATAGGGTATCTCTTTGAGATTACGTTCAGAAATCAATGTTTTTCAGATGTTTTAAAATTGTACTTTTTGTCTGTTATCGCCAGTTTATCAAAATATAAGCAGAAGTATTCTAATATTGCTTTTTGACAGAAAATCGCCATTATGGAGAAACAAAAATGAATGAACACAGCAGCCGTTCTCACACTATCTTCAGAATGGTAAAAACTGTTCCATTATTAGGAGGGTTTTTATGATTTTTGAAATGACAAAACCTTATTGCGCCCTCTTCTTCTAGATCATTGAAAGCAGAGAACGAAGTGACCCTGCAAATGCAAACTGTGATGGAGCAGTGATGGTATCTCACTTGGTAAGCTGTACTCCAAGAAGTTATTAAATAGGCATTTAAGTAGAGAATTTACTGTTACCACTTGTTTGAGAGAAGAATGTTACTTTATAATGACATTACAAGCATGCTTTGTTGTTAACTTCTGTCAGACATTTCTTAAGCAGAAATCATGTTTCTGATCATCTGTGTAGAGGGAGACTCCTGGGGTGTTATCTAGAGGATATCTTCCCACCAAAGGGAATTCTGACATGGGAATAGTTCCTAGACAATTCATGCTGGATTGAGGGGGGTGTTATGCCCTTCCCAGGGGTGTAAGAGACTATTGGCAGAGTGCTCTTGCATTTTGTTAAACACAGCTTCCCCTATAGACAAGTTCCTGACCCCTACACACAGTTCCTGACAAGCCCAGTGAAGTAACTTCTGAAGTGGGTAACCTTAAGGCTTCTCTTATCCTCAAATTTAGTTGTTAAAAGAACATGTGGCCTACAGCTGCAATCGCCAGAAGATTCATTTTTTTTCAAAAGTAACCCTGCTTATCATCTCTCTGGTGGATTACTAGTATATGAAATATCCTAAGCTGGGGGGAATACACTGCTGGTCTCTAGGGGAGTGTTTTGGTTTCTGAAGCCTCCTCTATACCGTTTTTCCTTGATTCGCAGAAAAGAATCCAAATCAACTGGAGGAATGAAATCAATATGAAAGCATTCGAGCTTGCTAAAATCTGTATAAGCACTCTCATTCAGAACTGGGAATAGCATTAAGTCAATTGCATTGTTGAAAGATTTCTGTTCTGGCTTCATGTGAAAAAGCTGAATGTAAAGACTACTCATGCAGTATCTGAGCAAACTACTGCCTGCTTTTTTTTTTTTCCTCACCATAGCTTATGGGATCTATTCTTCTTACACCACCCTCCGCCCTGTCTCTCTGTTCCAACTGACTTTATAGTAACCTCTACTAACCAGGGCGAGATAGAGGCTTTTTGGCCTTCTTGGTCTGTTGCTGCTTGGTGGAGTTAGTACAGGATTTTATCCTTCTGAAACAGAAACCAATTAAAGCGAGGGCTACTTGCTCAGGCAAGTCATTATGGGATGCTAGAAAGTTCTAGTTGACTTTGAACCAGATTGAGTGAGGCTTTTCCTCTGGTATTTAATTTCTTCCTTTCCTTATCCCTACAATGGCAGGCAAGGAGAGACATACAGCTGACTCAAGACAGGGTGCTAGATAATCTCATCTGGGCTCTCTTTCCCATGAAAGAGTGGACCAGATGATCTGTGATTCTATGAAGCTTCCTATGGCTTGAAGGAAGCTAACCCTTCTGTATTGAGAAACTGTGTTTATCTTTTGTTACTGAGGGTAGGGGGAATTGCACTGCAAGTTTGACATACTGTTCAGGGTGGTATTAATAGAGTTCGTACAAACTTATTGCATGTCCTTATGTACCTTGAAAGTATTGGTTGGTATGTGTGTAGTAGCTATGGATTACTTCCAATAATGACAGGCTTCTTGCTTTTTTTCTCAGTGTAACTTTAGCTAATGAAATTCTTAGCAGAGATTTAGAATTAAGATGATCTAAAATTAAATTGCCTTGGAACTAACCTGTGAAATATTTCATGAATTTGCAGAACTTGGTAGATCTGGCAGGCAGTGAAAGAGCTAGTCAAACAGGATCTGAAGGTGAGTGTTAAATGAGGCTCTTCTGATGACCACTTCTGTTCATTAACCCTTATGAGAGACTATGATAGAAAGGAAATGATTTTACTTATGTGCTATTGTGCTACTTACTGTTTATAAATAACCTCTTTTCCTATTGGTAGGGCAGGATCTACTCAGGAAAATACAGAAAATGCTGTAAAGTGCAATTAGTTAGGGTAGTAATGTGGCTTTTCTAGAATAGCAGGTCCAACAGCAGTCATGCACTTAACTAATAGAATGGAGATGAATCAGTAGATTCACTTGTAGTAAAGATGTCATTAGAAGCTTATAGGGACTCGTATGTAAAGGTGAAGAGTGAATAGATGGCTCACTCTTTAGCTAAGAGGAAGCTTAATTGTTAACAATGACAGCATGAAGCTGCACAAAAATGCCTTTATTGTAAAAAAAAAAAAAAAGTGATCTGAGAGGAACACAAGTTAAGATACTCTCTTACAAGGAATAACTCAAAAGTTGTATCTAAGGTTGGTTTGGTATACTTACACGTGTAAATATGGGCATTTGCAAAACAGGAAACAAAATGGAAGTTCTTATGGCCCCAGCTATTTACTCTGTAAAGATTATTAATGTTTATTTGTGATAGATCAATATCTCATTTTTATGCATTTCAGCTATTATAAAGGATTTGATATTGGCTGCTGATAGGTCATAGTGCATTGTGGCACTTGAGATTTAACTTCTGGATAATCCCTCTCTGCATAACATAGCACAAAAGTTTGAGAGGTTGAAAATGTATCTTAATGTTGTTTTAAATTAAAAAATAAATAACAAAGAAAATTACTGTGTGATACCTAGGTGTCCGACTGAAAGAAGGCTGCAATATAAACCGGAGCTTGTTCATTCTGGGTCAAGTTATCAAAAAACTTTGTGATGACCCTTCTGGGTAAGCACTTGTGTTTGTATACCTGTTTTAAGAGAAGTCACTAATAAACTAAGAAGTTAAAATCCTTTATACATAATCCTATTTTATGTAGGTAGCTATTTCAAATAAAGTATTACCTTGAGAAAAGATATTTACTGTGTTTTTTTCTATACAAAAATATGAATTCTTTCTTCTTTTTTTTTTCTTCCCTCTTTTTCATCAGCTTTATAAATTACAGAGACAGCAAGCTGACTCGAATTCTGCAGAACTCCCTTGGAGGAAATGCTAAGACGGTTATTATTTGTACAATTACTCCTGTTTCTTTTGATGAAACGCTCAGTACTCTTCAGGTAAAACTTCTCACCTGTTTTCAATATTATTCTGACTCAGGGCTTCATTGTAGACAAGTTGGAGGAGTGGAAAATGTGATCTGCTGGATCTGTAGCCACATGAAGCTTCTAAAGGTCCTCTGTGGACTTGGAACTTGAAATATTTGTTTTGTACACAACATCTTTTCCCAGTCCTCATCTAGGAGGAGAGGAAATGGCCTCAAGCTGCTCCAGGGGAAGTTTAGGTTGGATATTAGGAAAAACTTCTTCACTGAAAGGGTGGTCAGGCATTGGAACAGGCTGCGCAGGGAAGTGGTTGAGTCTCCATCCCTGGAGGTATTTAAAAGACAGGTAGACATGGTGCTTAAGGACATGGTTTAGTGGTGGACTTGGCAGTGATAGGTTAACGGTTGGACTCGATGATCTTAAGGGCCTTTTCCAATCTTAACGATTCTATGATTGTACTAGGTTGTCTAACTAGAGCTTTCTGGCAGTTGGAATGAAGCTCCTTCTCTCACCTTGGAGGCAGTAGATAACCTCTGTTTTCTCATTTGGCTTTTCCAAACACAGTTAGAACTACAAGTCTTTGCTAGCACAAGATGTTAGACAGGTCCTGAAGGAAAGGAGGCTAATTGAACTATTCATGAACTGTATTCTTTAGGTAGGATTGTCTTCCATTTTGGTTGTCTCTTGAGCTTTTTATTAAATAAAAAATAACTTGGTATATTTTTGCTAGAATGTTAGGCTTTGCTTTTTAGGGGTTAATATCAAGCAAAGAAAACTTACCTTTTCAAAGCTTAGAATATATGAAAAGTAAGCAAATGCAAATATTTGTGTCCTTTATTATCTCTTGCTCTTTATCTAATAAACTGTCCCTTTGATTCTCTTGGGGAAATATGAGACAGAATAAGTCTTTTGATATATTTGTTCTGTAACTATTGCCCATGAGAGAATATTCTTCCAGTTTGCTAATACAGCCAAAAGAATGAAGAATACTCCGAAAGTCAATGAAGTACTTGATGATGATGCCCTCCTGAAGAGATATCGCAAAGAAATTCTGGATTTGAAAAAGCAACTGGAGGAAGTACGTAAGAAACTTATTAAAATTAATCTATCCTTAGTACTGATAGCTATTTAGAAACATTCTGTTTTAAACCAAAACCAGTTAAATTTGGCAGGGTTTAAAAAATGGTTTAAAACCATTTGAAGTGATATCTGTCATTTCTATTGAGAGAATAGAGATTGAAAAGGTGATGTGAAGTTTAGAACAACTGACAATAATCAGTATATCTGTGTGAAAGCTAACACTGAATGAGATCAACTAACTGAATTGCTTGCTTTCTGTAGGTTAATGTATTTAAGAAATAGAAATTTGCCATGCCTTATAGCACACTTTAATATTGCCGCAGATCAAAAGGAATAATTAACTGTCATTCAATAACTTCTTACACTGCAATTAAAGATTCCAACTTAATTCATATTTTTCCCACTTACCGATGTTTAACTTCAGTTTGAGTTGCAAGAAGTTGCAACTGCATAAGATCCCTGGCAAAACTTATGTCCTGTATAGGCATAAAACACATTTAGAAAATGAACAATAGTAACTTCCCACCAAACAGTGTAATCTCTCGTGTTCATCTTTCTCCAAAAATCTATGGAGTTGAGGAGCAATCTTGCAAGTCTTGTTAGAACATGGATCATAAAAGATAAAGCACAGGAAAATCACAATTCTGAATATACTGTTTTGATTAATTAAATCATCAAATACAATAGTCATAATAAAAGTTTAAGGAAAAATAACTGACCTCTTATCTTTAAAAAGACTTCATTTGCAGTATAAACTTGCACCTAGAAGTGTGTTTACTATCTTCTGAGATAAGGTAGTGAAGAAAGTACTTAAGTACAGAAGAGTTTGTTGGAAAATCCCATGTGAACTTCAAATTACTATGACGTATAGTAAGCTTGTGATAAAGTTGTCAAAAAAACTAGCTTCTGTAATGCAGTTGCTTTACAATAGAATAATTTTTCAGTGCTTCGAATTTTAAAAGACCACATGCCTTAGAGTAGCTTGCTGTTATTTGACAGTTGAATCCTAGTTCTCAAAGAGCTTCAGGCTTCTGGCATCATGGGAAGGTCATCTTAAAACTATGTTAGACTTGAAAGAATGCTCTTTTTTTGTCCTTAGGAAAATCTGAGACTGTATTGTTTTGGGGAGTTTTGACCCCTTTAAATACTAAGTCTACAGGTAAATTGTAGACTAAATTGTCAGTTTCATTGTTAAAGATTAGACACCTATTCCAGACTTAAAAGAATATATGTGTGTAGTTGTTTTTAAATATTAGTAATTGTCTATCTTCTGTAGGAGTAGTTTGTGCTCTTAAAACATCAGGTTTATTAATCTTCTTTTTATGGAAGGTGTCTTCAAAGACTCAAATTCATGCAATGGAAAAAGACCAATTGGCCCAGCTGTTGGAAGAAAAAAATTCTCTTCAAAAAGTACAGGAAGACAGGATACGAAACTTAACTGAGATGCTAGTGACTTCTGCCTCCTTTTCCTCAAAACAGAATGCTAAAGTAAGCACCTGTTCTAGATTTTATTTGTTAACTCTGAAATACTTTGCAAAAGGTAATATTAAATACGTAGGGTTATATTGACAATGAAGAATAAGTTCAATAGGCAATTTTCACATAATCTTTCTTATTTTTAAAGGGGTAACTTTTAAAATAACTTCTGAGGGAATATCAATTCAATGTTGCCTTTCAGTGAACAGACTGCAGAGACTTTTGCTTTCAAACACTGTCTAGTTAGCTGCTGCTACTGTTATAAAGCTAGCCTAATGCAACATCTACTCCCTACTTAATGCTTTGGTTGTATTGCTTTTTCCTGTAAATATATATATATTTTTTTTTTTTTAAAGGCCAAGAGAAGAAGAAGAGTTACTTGGGCTCCTGGTAAAATAAACCAGGCAAATGTGAGCTATTTTGAAGACTTTGAAAAACCAATGCTGACTGAAACAAAAAAAATGAAAATGTCTCTGTCGGCACTACCAGACATAGAGGATTGTAAGTATCTTCAGGAAAAAATAAGGAAACTCTGCAAAGCAGCTTTGAAATGAGAAATAATCCCTTTTAAATAAATCTAAGTTAAAAAGCAAATTCATTTAAGAATACAAAAACGGCATTTAATTGGCACTATACTACTCAAATTATGTTCCATGAACCCAGTTTTGAAAGAGTTACCTGTAGCCCATAAGGAAGTTACATTTGTCTGCCAGCAAAGAATGCTGCCTGGGAGGGAAGTGGTTTTAGCACAATAATACTGGTAGTTCTTGTGCTGGAAATAAGGTTCATTTTATTTAAAAAGTGGGAGCATGAGCCTTACTGTCCCAGGTGAAATAACGTGTAGCAAATTCCTGTTGGATAACTTTGCAAGCATTACTTAGTTTCCCAAAGGGAAAAAGTCAAGACTCTTGATAGCACAAATTTAAAAAACCCAAAAAAACAAACCACACCACCCACAACCCAACAAAACCAAATGTCCCTGTACACACCTTTCAAGGAAATTTTTATGCCCCCTGCCCCAGATATTGAGCTTTTAATTTGCTAAAACCAAAGGTAAGAGCTGTGAGGTAAAAGGCAGGGTCTACAAATATTTCTGCCATGCGGCCTACCCCAACCCCCCATTTTTTTGTAAAAGTAGTCAGTTATTCTTTAACACAGGCTGTCCATCCAAACTGCGTTCTCTCCACAAAAAGGAGGAGCGGGAGGAAAGGGGTTGTGTGTGAAATTCCAAAATCCTCACAACAATATAGAAGTCCTTACTCAAAGATCACATTGAGATACAGAGAAATTCAACGAGTTATTAGAGGAGTGAGGGACAAAGAAAGTTGAACTGAAGATGAGGATAATTAGACAGTATTGTTGCTGAATTGCATCTTCTTGCAGCCTTATTACCTATACTGTCAAGCTTTTTTGCTTGTGAGTGGATTGTTGGGGGGGGGTGTCTGTATGGGGGGGGGGGGCGCTTTTTTTCTTTAGATCTTGCAGGATACTGTTGAGTGGTTCTTTCCTTGACACTTAAACGCTTTTCCTAGTTTGTAATTAAGTATATATTCTGGATTTGGTTTAGTATTCATTAACTTGCAATAAGGTGGTCAGCATAAACGTAGGGACTGGGCTTCAGTGTTGTTCCCTTTCATAAGAGAAAATCATGAGATTCAGACGTTTTACTCGGTGTGCTACATCTTTGCCACTGGATGATTGTGGAAAATGATAAAATTCTTTGATAAGAATGTAATTCTTGATGTCCAGTTTAAAATGTACTGCTACTCTGTATTTTTTAATACACCTTTCTTTTCAGCTATCTTAGAGAATTCTGAACATGACAACCAATGTCTGATGGTTCCTGATCAAATTTTGGATGTAGAATGGACTGCTGGACCTAACATGAATTGGGTAACACCATAATCTGTTTTGGTTGTCTAATACAGTGCCTATAAATTACATGCTTCTTACTAAGAGCAGCCTTACTCTTCTGTAGAACACCAACATTATTCTATATGTCTGAAGAATTATTATAACTGGTTAGAAAGTAAGTCTCTTGGTCATCTCTGTGAAGCTGTGGGATGGTTCTATGATTCTATGGTTTCGGGGTGAATGATCCAAAGCATTTTCATTTAAACAGGACTAGCCATGAAAAGACAAGCAATAATGAATGTAATACTAAACTTTCTTGATCTTGTAGATCAGTTAACTAGAGCGATTCTTTTTCTAGACTCAGAGAGACTTTGAAGAATCTGTGCAACTCTGTGAAGCGTTAGCACTAGAAAAGGTGAGTCTGCTCTGTATTGTCTAGAAATAAGACTGACATTCCAACAACAACTTCTAAAGTTTCCTGTGCTCCTTCTTCAGGATATTGCTGTAAATGAGGTCAATGTCCTGCAAGCTAACTTTAATAACCTAGTATTGGAAAATGAGCAGCTGAAATTAGAAATAAATGAAATGAAGGAGAAACTGAATGAAAAAATAGAAATGGATGAATTTGAAGCACTGGAAAAACAAACACAAAAAGATCATGAGGTAAGGTGTATTGAAATAAATACAGAAATAAGAATTCTCTATGCTCAAATGTTTTCTAGAGTTTAATCAGTGTACATATACTTGGATGTTGATTCACAAACAGATGGCGTTATAAGCTATGTTCAGCAAGAGAATGAATGAACCCAGGATTTCAATTGGATTTACTCAGTATAAAATTCAGACTTAAATTTTTGGAGAGGTGCATACTAAAGTCTGGTTAAACATATATTTGTGTGTGTGTATATGCATCCATATATTCCTTTTATATATGCATGATCTGAATTTCACTCTAGATTTCAGCAAGAGACAGTTGTTTTGCTGCATAAATACATTTTAGTACTGTTTTGAAGTTAAAGTATGGTTGCTAAACTGTATTTCACGTATTCCTTGTGCAAAACATCTTGGTTTACAATCCAATATAGCTCTGGCTTTTGGTAATCCATTGAACTATGTGAGCACTAATTCTTAACATATTATTGAACTTAGTAACAAAATATTTAAAAATAATAGTGTGAATAGTAATGTCTGTGGAAAATTGAAACATTGTATTTTGTGCCAGGAAGTCAGAAAAGGTAAACCTACCTACTGGCTAACTTATGATATAGGAAATGCTGACTTTCAGTTCTCTTCACCTCCTTGTGCTGTTAGTGGCGATGTACCTTGTTTGTCCAAATGTTTTATGCTCTGATTCTGTAACCTAAAATACGTATTATTACGGCTAGACTGTGAAACAAGTCACAGTGCAAAAAAAAACAACCAAACAACAAAAAAACCCTCAAAACCAAAACCTCAAACCCAACAACTCGAGGTATTGAGACATGGATGTATTATTCCAT